AGCCTCCTGATTACCATTACATAAAATTTGGACTTACTGGCACATCATACCATGAAATGACTGGAGAAAACATGACTTCTCTCTTGGTATTAAACATCAATTAAGATGAGTTACAAAAATCATAGTAAACTGTATTCTAAAAGCAAGCCTATGCCTGAAAAATCTGGTATACACATAGTTTTTGAAACTAAGGATGCATTTTCACTGTATAACCTACAAGAGAAGGAGTTGGGGTGATCTGGTGAACATAGAGTTATGGAATAAGTGTGTATCTATAACTTAGTACAAATAATATACAAAGAGAACGATAATGTATTATGCGGCTGCGCATGATGGCTCACTTCTGCAATCCCAGCATTTTGGGAGGCCGAGGTGGGTGGGTTACTTGAGCTCAGGAGTCCAAGACCAGCCTGGCCAAGATGGTAAAACCTCATCTCTACCAAAAACACAAAAAATTAGCTCTCAGCTACTCTAGAGACCGAGATGGGAGGATCGCTTGAATCCTGGAGGCAGAGGTTGCAGTGAGCTGAGATCATGCCACTGCATTTCAGCCTGGGTGATAGAGTGAGACTTCATCTCTAAATAAATAAAATAATATAATATAATATATTATGCTATTATACCTGTTATTTAAAATTGGGATCTTATGTTGATTTCTACATTTGGGAAGCATATTCCTAATAACTGACCTGCATTATCAGTCCTGTATTGTGTTCAGTGGCAAAGCCAGGCTTGGTGTCTGTTCCAACTGGGAACGCCAGGAGTAATGGTCCCACTCCTTGCTGCTGAGGATACAGCATGAATTTGGGCAGCACCATGAAATAAAGCAAATGTGAGGATATCCTCTATCAGTTGCACTCCTATTTAATAAGGAGACTTGATCATCATCAAGAAGTTAATTTCTCCATGCCTGGGTGAAACCATACTGACTCATCCTGGGGCTCTTCACTGGACCCAGTGATCACCAAATCCTTCAAGCATAAAATGGCCATGTGACTATCTCCTTCCTCTCAGGATGAAAGGGGCAGACAATAACATTGATTTATGTTCCTCAGGAAAGGACACGCTACAAACTAGAGAACATGGGAAAGAGGAAGTACATGAGTTAAAATGCAGGCACACGGTGGCATGTGCCTGTGGTGCCAGCTACTGGAGAGGCTGAGTGGGAGCATTGTTTGAGCCCAGGAGGGGGAGGCTACGGTGAGCTGAGATGGTACCACTGCACTCCAGCCTGGTTAACAGAGTAAGACCCTGTCTCTTTCTCTCTCTCTCTCTCTCTCTCACACACAGACACACACACACACACACACACACACACACACAGAGAAAATAAACGAGAAAAATAAATTGTTCTTAAACATAAAATTTAAAGTAGGGTTCTTTGTATCACCACTTTCTTTTTTTTTTTGACAGGAGTCCAAAGACTCAGCCTGCGCCAAGATGGTAAAACCTCATCTCTACCAAAAACACAAAAATTAGCTCTCAGCTACTCTAGAGACCGAGATGGGAGGATCGCTTGAATCCTGGAGGCAGAGGTTGCAGTGAGCTGAGATCATGCCACTGCATTTCAGCCTGGGTGATAGAGTGAGATTCATCTCTAAATAAATAAAATAAATAATAATAATATATTATGCTATTATACCTGTTATTTAAAATTGGGGATCTTATGTTGATTTCTACATTTGGGAAGCATATTCCTAATAACTGGACCTGCATTATCAGTCCTGTATTGTGTTCAGGTGGCAAGCCAGGCCTTGGTGTCTGTTCCAACTGGGAAGGCCAGGAGTAATGGTTCCCACTCCTTGCTGCTGAGGTACAGCATGAATTTGGGCAGCACCATGAAATAAAGCAAATGTGAGGAAATCCTCCTATCAGTTGCACTCCTATTAATAAGGAGACTTGATCATCATCAAGAAGTTAATTTCTCCATGCCTGGGTGAAACCATACTGACTCATCCTGGGGCTTTCACTGCGACCCAGTGATCACCAAATCCTTCAAGCATGAAAATGGCCATGTGACTATCTCCTTCCTCTCAGGATGAAAGAGAAAGGGGCAGACAATAACATTGATTTATGTTCCTCAGGAAAGGACATGCTATAAACTAGAGAGAACATGGGAAAAAGAGGAAGTACATGAGTTAAAATGCAGGCAACACGGTGGCATGTGCCTGTGGTGCCAGCTACTGGAGAGGCTGAGTGGGAGCATTGTTTGAGCCCAGGAGGGGAGGCTACGGTGAGCTG